TTCAAAATTAAATATATTTTCCTCAAATATATCCTGATTTCAAATACATCTATTAACAACGAAAGTATAAACCTATGTATAGATATATATATATATATATATATATATACTGATTTTATTTAAATAGTGAAGATACATGAAAGTTTTATGAGAGGGGCCAATAGAAGCACCATACCCATATGATACCAAATACAGTAATATCCCAACTAAAAGATACAGGTAGACTCAAAAAATTAAAATTTGCAGAAAACAAGTAGCTAGGGACGAGCCAGTTTAGTCCTGTCTTTTCTTCTAGTTTTAGAGGCGGAGCCAGATAACAAACTTTGAAATGTCGTGTCATTGTCCGGAGTAACCAAAGTATCATCCATTAAGTTTTCAAGTTGGAGTGTGCCCCCAGCATTTTTCTTCCGTCGAGAAGTGTAAACCTGTCATTCTTTATCAGAAGACTGGCTCATTTGATCATCGGTTTGATTAGATATTAGAACCGCAGTAGAAGGAAATGCAGTCGTTGCTACAGTAATAGGCTCTAGTGCATATGAAGTGTGATTGTCACCTCTGCACCTGATGCTTCCTGAATCGGAGCTACGGGGCTATCCTGATTTTCGGTCTAAACATTATCAGTTGTAGTATGGTCGGGAGAAGTGATTGGGAGAAGGGTTCCCAGGGGCAAACACCAACTGTCTTGTGGTGATTCCCTCCTCAGGTTGGCTGTCATCAGGTTTGTTGGGAACGCATTCAGACACGTGAGGTGCACTAACAGCATGTTCTTGCTTTTGACTATTGGTTCTCAACTGTGGGTGCAATCTGAAATATTTCTCCTGCGGGTGTCCAAACATCTTGCAGTGCTTACAGTAATAAGGTTTTTGTTCCATAATGATTTTTTGCCAAAAATCATTGTGAGCAGAACCAAGCCAGGCTTCTTCTACATTTGTTAGTGTAATATCTCTTTCAATCAAAATTCTTGCAGTAGAGGGCCTTGAGAAGTGAACTGTGGGTAAGTCTACTTGTAAAGATTTTCCAATGATAGTCCCAATTGCATATAAGATAGATATGTCAAATAAATAAAGTTTGAGTTCAAGTAATGGGAACCAAATAGGCGCAATTGAGGGTTCTGCGGGTGTCCAAACATCTTGCAGTGCTTACAGTAATAAGGTTTTTGTTCCATAATGTTGTCAAAAACCATTGTGAGCAGAACCAAGCCAAACTTCTTCTACATTTATTAGTGTAATATCTCTTTCAATCAAAATTCTTGCAGTAGAGGGTCTTGAGAAGTGAACTGTGAACTGTAGGTAAGTCTACCTGTAAAGATTTTCCAATGATAGTCCCAATTGCATATAAGATAGGTATGTCAAGGAAATGAGGTTTGATAAATGAAAATTTGAGTTCAGGTAATGAGAACCAGATAAGCGCAATTGAGAGTTCTTGATTGGGATCAAAATTAGGGATCCATTTGAGCAATTTCATATGTTTCCCCTCTATTGTGATGAATTTATTTGAGAAAATCCTTGTGTAATCTTCTTCTATATTCAGCTGATCATAATATGTCTTCCGTCAAAATGACCCACCTGCCAAGCCCCAACTAGTTCGAAGTCTTCAAAATCTTCCCAATAATTTCCATCTTTGGGCAATCTAATTGAAACTTTCCAACTAGTGTAAATTTGTATTTTCCCGCATGAGTTGAAATTTCAGTATCATAAAAGAATATTATTGGTTTGCCCGCATTTTTCTCTATTTTCTTGATGAGATCGCAATCTCCATGTCCTGCAACAGAATCATGGTACATCTATGGGAATATCGGACTATCTGCGAGGTGAAAAAAGGGAGCTACATTTGTGAACCACTATAGCATAGGAGGGTTTGACGGGGTTATCACCGATGAGGGCGGCGGCGTAGGAAATCCCTGAGGTCATTAGCGTGCTTCACACAAGCACTGTTAAATTCAAAAACTTTAAATGTTAAAATTATAATTTATTTAATTAAATAAATTTATACAGCTAAAACTTAGAGATTTGAATAACAAACCATAGCTTTGATCAAAATCCCTAACACGCGCACTGTGGTTTGCTGGCATCAGCTTCCCCTTCTCTTCTTCTCGCACAAGACACAATGTCGTAGATCCCATCTCTTCTCTCTTCTCCTTCGCATGGCTCGATGCAGACAACACCCGCGGTCATCTTCTTACTCCTCTTCCTCTGCACACAACCAATCTTCCTTTGCACGCCAGCATAACAACGCTTCATAGTTTTCCTTCTTCCTCTTTCCTCTTCCTCTGCACAAGCACAAAGCCAAGTCACTCGACTTCCTTCCACGCACACAAACTTTCTCCTCCTATGACTATGGCTCGACATTGAAACGTGTAGGAGAGATATATGATTACTTCTCTTAATCTCCCTCCTCTCCTTATTGTTACCTCCTTCCTCTCACTCTCTAGTTCGAATGAAGGGGAAGTGTTGAAATCTATGAAGCACGAATACAGGGACATGACATAATTGAAAAAAATAAGACATGACAAGTCGTGGATAAGGGAAGGAGAAGTAGGCAGTGATAGTGAAAGAGAGGAGAGGAGGGAGATTAAGTGAAGTTGTTGTATATCTCTCCTACTTATTTCGACGTCAAGCCCTAGTCAAAAGAGGAGGAAGTTCGAGCGTGTTGAAGGAAGTCAAATGAATTGGTGTTGTGCACGCAAAGGAAGAAGAAGGAAGCGTAGGAAGTGTCGTTGTGCTCACGTGCAGAGGAAGAGAAGGAAAAAGAAGACCACAGGTGTTGTCTGCGTCGAGCCATGCGAACCAGAAGAGGGAAATACGGGATATGCCGCACAATATCGCATGCGGGGAGCAGGGAAGGGGGAGCCCAAGCAAGCAAGCCACTGTGTGCGTGTTAGAGATTTTCACAAAAAATAAGGCGCGTTATCCAAATATTTAAGTTTTAAATGTATAAATTTAATTAATTAAAAAAATTATAATTTTAACATTTAAAGTTTGTTAATTCAAAATAGGCATTGTAGCGGAAGATTGTGGGGGAATGACCATGATTCAAGCAAATACTGGTAAGGTAAGTTTGGGTTATACTATTTTAATTAGCGAATCTTATACATATATTTAAGTTTACTCTTTAGTTGTTAATAATAGATGTGTTTGAAATCAAAACGTAATTGAGGAAAGGAGATTCAGTTTAGAAGATCGAGAAGTAAATCATTTTAAAAGATATGGTATGTTTTAATTAAAAATTAAAGTTTAATTTACTTAATTTAGAAAAAACATTTAATAAAAATGTTAATGCCTAACAACAATTTAGGTTGAAGAACATTTGAACTTAAGAAATCAGGAGCTAAGGCATCGATGTGACAAATAAGCAAAGTAAGGTGAGTAATTATTTGTTTATTATGCATTAAATTAATTTTTTATTAAAAAAATAATTGTTTTATTAAATGGTTTAAAAATAAATAATTAACACATGCTTGCATTTTGAAAAGTTGAAAAATGTCTCATAAATAGGAGGAAAATAACTGACATATAAAAATATATTTTAAAAAATTTTAAATTGATATGAAATCAAAGGTAAAGATTTTAAGTCATACAAGATTACCTCCAGATGGTACTGTCACATGACGCGATGTACACGTGCACGATAAAGAAAATGGTAAAAGTGTATATTCGGGTGCAAATTTTAATAGTGGCGGATATGAAGGTAATCTTGTTATCACTTTTAAGGAAGTTAAAAAGGTAAATATTTAAATTCACACAAGAATGAATAAATTTAAAGAGAAAGTTTAAAGTTTTATAAAATAATGAACTGCATTTTCTTTTAGTTATTCATGCATGCATTGGCATAATAATTTAATGTACACTAAGATTATAGTTGCTCAATAAGTCAAACATACTATTGAAATTAATAATTACTTTCAGGAAAAAAAAAAGTTATAGGTTGATATGTCTGGCAATAGAGCTTAGTTTATAGAAGGACTTACAGCTGATAGATACTATGTTATGATATGTTTGTAATTTCTTTTTACATTACTTTCTTTTGGATAATAATATATTGTTGCGTTGATTAGATATTTTATTTGCAGATATTTTGTTATTGTTGAATTATTTAAATTTTTTTATATGTATTTATGGGTTATTAGTATTTTTTTTATATATTGAAAGTTTCTGAAAAAATGTGGAAAGAAAATGATAAGTTAATATCGTCCTACCACAGTTTCGGACTTAGTTCATTATAAGGCCTCTGCCGAGTCGTGATAACATACCAGAAAATTCTGACATATATATATATATATATCTAATGCTTAAATTTTAATATTTACTTATTTAGCATTATAATGTTTCAATCACATATAAACATAGAAAGAAAATGTGCATTTCACTTCAAAAAAAAAAAAATAATGCTAGTGATATTTTTGAAACATTTAAAGATTAAGGTGTTATATAATTAAATAATAAGGACTAAATGTTAGATACATAAATATATAAAAATTATTAGGTATGCATGTAAATCCCAATTAAAAATATGGCTACATATAAAAACTACAATAATATTATAAAATCAAGCTATAAAATGAAATAATCGAGCACTCATAAGTGAATTAAGGAATGGATAATATTAAGGAAGATTTTAAGGCATACCGCTCAATTCATATGTTTTTACATATCTAACGCCCAAACTTTAATTTTTGCATATATGCCACCTTACCTATACATGAAAAGTTGTATTTTACTTTTTAAAAGTCCAAATAGTTGTATTTTTTATGTGATATAAAAGATTTGGATGGTATAGATGTAAAAAGTAAAATTTAGGTGTTAGATATGCAAATACATAAGAATAGGATGGTACTTGGTAAATGCCCCGAATATTAAACAGTTTGAGAAGCTTAACAGTTCATAAATCTGTGACTAATAGAATTTTCAGTATATAAAGGCATCAACAAAACACATTCTAAATGAAGTAAATACATTTTTAAACATAAAAAATAAAATCATACTAAAATACATCAAATTTACCTTCCAGATGGAAAGGAATCTCCAAAAGCAAAAACCACACCGAAAACAACAACAGCAACTCCAACACCAATCTATTTTGCAATCAAATCCCAATCAATCAATCAATTTCCACCTTTGAAAAAATTTTGCATGTAGAAAAGCAGAAGTCAAGATATGCTACCTTAGTAGCCAGTCCAATTTTGGATTGTTCAGATTCAATTGGAGCATCATAATCAATAGGCTGAAAAATTCTCTCTCCCTCAGCTTTCTTTTGCTCGTATGCTGACCTAAATATGCAAGAAGAGAAAAAAACAACATATTAGACAAATAAATAAAGTGGAAAGATTATGAATCTTATCAAAGCTAAGGTACATTAATGGTACATTAATGGTTAGTTGGCTGCAAAATTATTTTTTGGAGGAGTACATGCATGCCACTCAATTCTTATGCATTTACATATCTAACACCTAAACTTACATTTCTACATACATGCCAACTCACCTATTGCTCGAAAGGGTGTATTTCATTTTTTTAGAGTTAAAATAGTGGTATTTTCAATGTTATATGATTAGATTTGGGAGGTCTAAATGTAAAAAACAAAGTTTTGGTGTTGGATATATAAATGCATATAAATTGGGTGGTATGTATATAAATGCCCCCTTTTTCCCCCTCTGGAATATCATGGAGGTACGCTGCACATAAATTAGTGTGATCAATCAGACTTCAGTAGACAAAATAATTTAGTTTAGTTGGAATAAGGGGCAGACCTATTAAATATTATCTATGCCATATTATTCCCACAAAAAGCACATGTACCCCCATTTAGAGTTAATGATTGATGATTGTTGCTCCTCCTCCCTTGAATTTTAGACTAGTTCTTAGCTGATTGTTTAGTGATACTTCACGACTAGACCTAGGAGTATAAGAAGGCGATGTAAAACAACAAATTTTTTTTTACTCAAGAGAGTCAAATGCTTTTCACATCTCATAAAATACAATTTTTTTTCTAATTCAATAAAATGATCAATAACTTCATTATCCTTCTTTCCACGACAACAATTATTATGATGATAAAACTTCTAATTAGAGCTTTCTAGTGATAGTCTTTATAAAAATATTTATGATGACAGATCTCTTTCCTTTCGTATGATTTAGATCTTGAGGACAATTATGAATTACTAGTACCTATGCTTGATCTTGATTCCAATATTATATCACACGTTAAGCAAGAGCCCATGTTTTATGAAGCGTTTGAGCTTGAGAATGATGCTAAGAATATGACAATGTTTCATCAAATTTTATTAATGCACAAAAGCCAAAATTTGATCTTTTCCAACTTAGTGTGATGATTTCTACTCCAATTCACGTCTTAATAGCTCAAGAGAGAACATATTTTAGATGATTACAGCTTACTCAAAATATATATAAACATTAAGCTTGTGTCGTTAGTGCCACCATGATCGCCTAATTAATTGTTGGTTCACTTTCAAAATATCTAACAAGTGCATATAATGTATGGCAATTTAGAACCTAAGCCTCGAAATCAATGTATTTTAGGCATCTTCAAATTGTTTTATATACTTCATAGACACTTCTTCAATAGATGATATAGTATTACCACTTCCTCCACCCTACCCACATAGTTCTTTACTAGCCAAGAGAATTTATGCATTTATTCAACTACTTTATCCCAAAAAAAAAATAATAATAATTCATAAGCCCAACAAAAAAGAATCTAAAAGGAATAAAAAGGAGCTAAACCATACATGTTTTCAAGCTTTTTATAATTTCTTTTTATATTGGCCAAATTTTATATCATCTGTCAAAATTCACCATTAATTTATTTGTTTTTATCCCTATAATATTGTTTTTTATAAAAAAGATAAAGAGCTTGTATTCAAAATTGTATTTTCATACTAATGATTTAATAAAACGGAAAAAGTGGTTGGTTATTTACAAAATTGGGGTCACTAATTCACAAATAGATTTATTTCAATTTAGAAAAAGAAAATAATCTTCTTGCGAAGATTGACAAATGATGCAAATAAAAAACTTGACCGCACAATCTAGGGCAATAGTTATGGATAATTGGATATGCATCTTAAGAGTTTAAATAAAACGATCAAAAAAAATTATAATCAAAGGATAGGGGCTGAAATTTGAGAAAAGGAAAATTATTAATATTTTGAGAAATGTTGCTAAAATAGAATTAAATTCTTCAATTCAGTCAAATCACATGGGAAAAGATTGCTACTTCCTTCAAAAGAATTGTTGAAGAAATTTTAAAAGAGTCTAACACTGATGAGGAGATTTGGTCATGGAGCGAGCCCGCAGAAAGGGTTATTAAAATGATGCTTTTAAATGGTGAATAAAAATGAATACTATAGAGGCCCATAACAATTACAAAAGGGATAGAAATCTTGATGAGGCCAAAGCACCCGTTATATCAATGATAGGTTCTAGGGCAGGTGAAGTCTGAAAAGTCTCCCCCGCCCCCACGAAAGGAGGTTCTATAGACGGGGAACCTACATCATGATTGTGTGGAGGCTGAAATGTTGACATATTACCTGCGAGGATAATAACATCTTCAGGAGTATCCTTCTGATGATCAATAGTGTCAATAACTTGGAGAAGATCAGGAAGAGGGGGAATCAATGTCTCTGGCCGAGTACTTTACTTATTTGGTCTGAGATGGAGATGTAAATGGTGACATTAAGAACTGAAGTGGTCGAACATACGACAATTCGAGCAATACAAAGAGAAAGTCTCAATCACAACATTTTGTCAATATCCATAGTGTTGTGTGTCTAACCAAATTTCCTCAGAAGCAATTAAAGTGATGTCGCTTTCAACAAGAACCCTGACTTCAGAGGAACGGGAAAGATTAAAAGTAAGAATATCCGTTTTTGAGTGGCTTACCATAAACTAAAGCAATAGAGCACAACACTTTTTGAGTAAAATAACGAAATTTAAGGTCAGGAAGGCGATTCCAGACCGGAATGATTGGTGGCTCCGTCTGTGGATCAAAATCCACCGATCATTTCAAAATCTTCATAGCTTTGTTATCAATCCAGATTAATCTTCTAGCAAACAAGCGTGTGTAATCCTATTCATTATTAAGTTGAATAAGGATATGTCTTCCATCTAAAAGTCCAATTTTCCAATCCTCAACTAGGTGCATAAGCTTAAATTCCTTCTGAATAAGCTCAATTTTGGGATGGTCATAAAGAAATTTTCCAACCAAATTCAGACGACAGGAGGAAGCAAACTGATTACATTTAGTTGATTACATTCAGCTTCCGTAAAAAATATAGTTGGTTTTCCATTCTTCCTACCAAGTTTCTTGATGTCCTCCGCCAATGTTTCTTGATGTCCTCCTCCAATTCAAAAGGAGTGAAAGAGCGCGATGTAGGAGTACTTGAAACGTGGACACCTGCAAGGGCAGCAACATACCATCTGTCTGAAACCATCACCAAAAGAGGGAGGCGCGGCGATAGGACAACGAAATAATAGTGAACGGAATAGCAAAAGCTGAAAGGGGGATCAACGGTACCCCCGTCCAAGTCGAGCAGGGGGCGGTTGAGCCTGAGGAAAGGAGGAGTCGACGCCCAGGAACGTCCTTCATAACGAAGAAGGACTGCGAGAGAACCAGACCTTCCAACCGGGGACGAAAGCCTGCGGCAAGAACGAAAACAAAAACTGCGACGACGACGACGAAGGACTGCGGCGAGCGAAAGAGACCTTCCAATCGGCGACGACCACGAAAGGAATGCAAGGCAAACGCAGTGAGACAGACCAGAGAAAAGGATCGAGGGTAAGGATGCGTTAAGACGTCATAACAGAAGCTAGGGTTCGCCATGAAGTGAAACCCTAACAGAGCCGAGCACGAGAGAAGACGCCATTAACCCGAGGAAAGGAGGAGCCTACATACATGTATTTTTGTGTGTGTGTGTGTATTTAGAAAAAGCCCGAGGGCTAATATATTAAAGAGAAAAAGATACAGATAAGTTGTATGAGTGGGCCTAAAAGAAGACCCAACCTACACGATACAACACACAAAATCCCAAAAAAAGAAAAGATGCATATAATATCAAAAAACAAGTGACCAAGGCCCAACGCGCGCAAAAAGCTAAGGACGTCTCAATTTAGACTTGTCTCTGCCTCTAATTATCGGAAGGGAGTGGGTTAACATATTGGTGATGTGTGTACCATTACCCGAAGTAATCGAAGTAACCAAAGTATCATCCAGCAGATTCCTGAGCTCAAATAGGTCTCAATTCTTTTTCTTCCTCCTGGATATGTAAATTTGTCATTCCTCATTCGATGATTGACTCATTTGATCAGTGGATTGGTCCAAAGGTGGCAGGACAGGTGTAGGCTGCGCATATCATAAATCCCATGTGACTGAGTAACATTAACACTTTGCTCAACCAGATGAGGCGGTAGAGAAACAGTAGAAATATTATCACCTGTAACATCAGTGATATGTTCTAAGGCAAGTGAAGTCAGAAATGTCTCCCTCGCCCCCACGAAAGGAGGTTCCAAAGACGGAGAAACTACAACATTGTGTAGAGGTTGAATGGTTGACATATTGCATGCGATGTTAGTAGCATCTTTAGGAGTATCCTTTTGATGATCAATAACTTGGAGCAGATCAGGAGGAGAGGGAATCACTGCCTCTGGCAGAGCACTTTATTTCTTTGGTCTGAGGTGGGGGTGTAAATGGTGATATTGAGAACTGGAGTAACTGAACATACGACAGTTCGAACAATAAGAAGGAAAAGACTCAATCACAACATTTTGTCAATATCCATGGTATTGTGTGTCTAACCAAGGTGTCTAACCAAATTTAAATTTCCTCAGAAGCGATTGAAGCAATGTCTCTTTCAACGAGTACTCTGGCTTCAGATGAGCGAGAAAGATTGAAAGTAGAAATATTCGTTTTGAGTGGCTTACCATAAGCTGGGGCAATAGAATACAATATTTTTTGAGTAAAGTAAAGAAATTTCAGGCCAGGGAGGCAAATCCAAACAGGAATGATTGATGGTTCCATCTGTGCATCAAAATCCATCGATCATTTCAAAATCTTTATTTCTCTGTTATCAATCCAGATTACCATTCTAACAAATAATTACGTGTAATCATCTTCATTATTAAGTTGAATAAGAATGTGTCTTCCATCTAAAAGTTCAATTTTTCATTCTCCAACAATATGCATGTCGGCACTATTTTTGGTGTGGGGTTTGCCCGTAAGAAGCTGTCGGTCATCGGAATTGAAATCCCGTTGCCCGCTTCGGAAGGACGTTAAAAAAATTTAGTTTTGAAAAAGATGAAGTCAAACTGACCCCATAATTTTCATAGTTTAAATGGAAGAGCACTTTTTTATGTCCTTCACGAACTCAAACGAAGGAGTGAAAGAGCACGATTTAGGAGTACCTGAGGCGTGGACACCCGCAAGGGCAATAGGATACGATCCGTCTGAAGCCATCAAAAGAAGAGGGAGGCACGGCTAAAGAGCAGTGAATTTGTAGTGGATGGAAGAGCGAAATCCGAAAGGGAAACTATAACCCGTACCGAGTCGAGCAGAGGGCGGACTTTCAGCTCGAGCCCGAGGATTGCAGCAAGGAAAGAAAAACTGTGGCGAAGAAAAAAGACGAGAGGCGACGACGACGAAGGAGAGCGGCACACCTTCCAAACGACGGCGACGAGGAAAGATTGAGGTGAAACTGACTTTCCAAAATCGCGACGACAAAGAAGACCCGGCGAGAAGAAGAAGACGTCGGAGCAGACGCAGCTAGGAGAGGAAAGGATTAGATGCGATAAATTGTCGTAACAGTTGCTAGGGTTCGCAATGAGGTGAAACCCTAGCAGAGCCGAGCGTGGGAGAAGATGACGCCATTTTTCATATGTATACATATATTTTATTTTTTGAAAAAAGCCCAAGGGCTAATATATTAAAGAGAAAGGATACATATAGGTTTTATGGGTGCGCTCAAAAATAGACACCCAACCCACATCATACAACACAAAAAAGTTAAAAATGGGTACATATAAAAATCAACAAAAGCCCAAAACCACCAGGGCACTGCAAAAGTGAGGGTCATCTCAATCTAGTCATGTTTCTTGCTCTAGATCTCGGAAGTGATCCAGCTAACAGATTGGTAAGATGCGCATCATTACCCGAAGCAACCAAAGTATCATCTATAAAACTCTTGGGCTCAAGTAGATCTTCATTCATCTTCTTCCTCCTAGAAGTGTGAACCTGTCATTCCTCATCCGAAAAATCAGTTTGATGAGATGGTAAAGCTGAAGCAGAAGGATTACCAACCGTAGTACCCACAATAGGTTCTAGTATATGTGAAGTATGAGTTGTCTCTACACCGGATACTTCTTGAAGAAGCTGCGAGGTTCTCCTGATTATCAGTCTGAACACTATCATTTATAGGTAATTTTTCATCAATATTGTTTTCTATGGTGTTTGAAGGTATCAGCATCGCATCACTCGTAATAACAGCAACAGCAACAGCAGTGTCATTGGGGGGTCCACAGGGGTTAGAAACACCTGTCTGGTAGTATCCTCCTCAAGTGGGACTAAAATGCACAGAGCAGTGGAGTTAGACCCATCCTTATTCAGTTGAACCTTAGATTTCAAATTAGGATGGAGCTTGTGGCATTTATAAAGGATATGCTCAAACATCTTCCAGTGGGTACAATATGGGGGTCTGTGTTCCATGACGATTTGTTGTCAATATCCATTATGGGTTGTGCCCAACCAGACTTCAGTAACATTAAGTAAAGTAATATCTCTTTTCACAATTATTCTGGCCACAGAAAGTCTGGTTATGTTGAAAGTAGGCAGATCTAGCTTCAAATGGTCTCCGAGGATGGCCTCAACAGAGTAGAGAACCTGATGGTGAAAAAAATACAGCTTGAGACCAGATAGACTAAGTCATACCGATACAGTAGGAGTTTCATGATTTGGGTCGAAATCACGAGACCACTTGAGTAATTTCATTGATTTGTCTGAGATATTAAGATATTTCTTAGAGAAAATTCGAGTGTAGTTTTCAACCACTGATAGTTGAATCAACCATGTCTCTCATCCATGAGTCTCACTTTCCACTTGTCTACTAGTTTAAAATTATCAAATCTATCGGTGGGTGCCCCCACTGAAATTTTCCAATGAAAGCAAACTTAAATTTTTTCGTTAGGGTAGAAATTTTTGAGTCGGAGAAAAAGATTATTGTTTTCCACCTTTCTTACTTCCCTTCTTAACAAAAAGGCAATCATCTGTATCATCGCGACGATCCTTACAGCTTCAGGGAAAGACCACTGCGGACTCCACCTGAGGGTTATCGACCACATGAGCAAAAGAGACCTTTGTCGGTTCAGCCAAAGAAGAAGGAAGTGTCATCAGAGCAAAGAGATGTATCGGCGTTCACTTGCAGCGAGTTCCTGACAAATAAACGAAATGAAGATGTTGCTGTCGAACCGGAGAGCACGGGCGCAGACGCAAACAGAAGAAATGATGCGTCGAAACAGAAGGAGCGAAATTGTCGGGAGCAGAAGCACGGAAAGACGCAGCGTCGAAACAGGAAAGATGCAGTCGCAACAGACGCATGCCGACGCAGATGCATACCGGAGCAAGAGTCGACGAAACGAGTTGCGTGGCCCTCTTCTTCGAGCGGAAGAATCAAGTGCGACGGAAATCTCAATTGGAAACCCTAACAGTATATATATATATGTATATATATGTATATATGTATATATATGTATATATGTATATATATATATACATATAATATCTCAAGTACGAGAGAATGAAACTAGAGATTTTCATCAAGTTAGATGCATTAAAATTGAAGATGATAATATATTAATTAAAGATAAAGGCATAAAAATAAAGTAAAATATTACTTTAAAAACTACAAAATGAAAGTAAGAGAGATTATTTTAAGGAATGCAAAGAAAAAAATATAGTGAAATATATTATAGATTGACGCAAAAAAAAAATGAAGTGAAGCTAGCTTGCAAAAAGATACATCAAGATATAGCTTTAGTTCTGGATGAGCTACCTAATGAGATTTCATGAGTGAGGTGTTGGATGTTACAGTATTTTGGTTGACATTTTTTAATAGAATCTTAGAGATAATGAGGATGCCAAATAATAAAATAAGAAGAATATTGACATCAATATTTGATAACAAAGACGATGCTTAAGATTGTTCTAACAATTGAGAAAACAAACTATAGATCATATGAGGAAGCTACAAGAGAGTATAGTAAAATATGGGATCTGAAAAATTAAATCACATTTGAAGAACCAATTTAAATTCATCGCGGAAAGTCTGCCATAGAAATAGTATTTACAGGATTTATTAATTCCTGCTAAAGCTAAAATCCTATTTGCAGCCAAACAGCCTCTAAGAATATGCAAACAAATCCATAACTCAAAATAAAGGCATGGAATGACCATTAACACGATTGACAACATAACAGCAAAAACAAGCAAACGGCATCAAACTTTGTATATGCTTTAGCTGTAGACATAAAAAATATAGATGACCAACTGTCTGGTGATCCTACTTAAACCAACAGAATAAAGGGCAACGCATAAATTTTAGCTTTTGCAAGGTAAGCGTACGTAAAAGCTAGTGTGTGGAAAAAGATAGTAATGATACATTACCTTCTAACGGATTCTACCTTCTCCAAAAACTGGCGGTCTAAAGAAGGAATATTTAATTTTCCTCCGGTAGTCCCTGCTAATTCTTGTTCATCTAACATAAAAAAAATATTATAAGAAGTGCTTAAATAGTAAATGAGTAGTTTCACTTTCTTCACTGAAACATAAGCAAATAACACATAGCAACAAGTACTACACAAATCCTAAAAAACCACCACTACTAGTGTAATAATCTTTGAAAGAAGTGTTTGTGATTTTCCTGAAGACGTGCAAGGATGTCTGTTTTTGTCAATATGGAATTTGGAAAATTTCTTTTATGTATTTACCTTACTTGTTGGCCTCACTGCCACAGCCTCGTTGTCCTGCTCCCATTCCTCCGGCTTCCACCAATGCCTTCCTTTTCCCACCTTGCTTTTAAAACACCAGTGCTTCTGTCAAATCTATCGTAGCTCCTTTATTTTTTTTTAGTGGGTGATGGGGGGCATTTACATACATACCACCCGATTTTACATTTATACAAATCTTTCATATCACATCAGAAATACCATCATTTTAACTTTTTAAAAGTGACATACAGTTTTTTATGCATAGGTGAGGTGGCATGTATGAAAAATTTGAAGTTTTGAGGTTAGATACGTAAAAACATAGGAATTGAGTGGTATGTATGCAAATCTTCTTTTTTTTTTTTTCGCAATCCATAATCGCCTCAATTTTTTTATTCCCTTTCATGTCTTGAATTCAACAGAGATGAAGGCAGTGCTATGTTTCTATTCTTTATGTTCTGCACAGTGAACCACAGTAACAATACCGTATTGCATCTCTCTTCTATTTTTCTTGACGATTTCATTGTGCTGTTCTGATTATTGGGTAATTATGTGATATTAAACCAGTATATGGTTTTATTTAATAGGAGAAATTATATACATACTACTAAATTCCTATGTATTTACATATCTAATAGCTAAATCTTTATACTTTCTCATATAACATCCCAGTCTTATAAAATATCATCAAAAGTACCATTAAATTTTACTTATCCTATCGAATTTTAGAGGTGTCTTTAATTGCAAGAACCACAAAGTGTAAAAATACAATTTAGGAAACCATGATATGACTGAAAAAACTCAAGGGCGGCCAAACTGTGATTTCCTTATAAATCGAGGGAACAAAATGTATTGTCTTATTTTTTTGGAAGATATAAATACATGCCACTTAACTCCTATGTATTTACATATCTATAACACCTAAACTTAAACTTTTACATACATGCCACCTTACGTAAGCATCAAAAGGTGTAATCCCCTTTTAAAAGTTAATATGGTGGTATTTTTTATGTGATATAAAATATTTCGCTGGTATTACTGTAAAAAGTAAAGTAAAGGTGTTAAATATGTAAATACAATGAATCGGGTGGTACGTATTTAAATGCTCCCCCTCCTCTTTTTCTTAAGTTCTTTATTTCTAGATAAAAAAAACTTCAACCAAATTAATTCTAAACGTTTCTTATGCTAAAAGGACTTAGATGGTTTCTAAAACATCAATAACATTCTCTACGGACAGCTTTAAGACCTCAAAAGAATGGAGAAATTTTACAGCAATCATAAAGGCTATTGAGATTTAGAAAAAAATTTTAAAAAAATTATGAAAAAGACTTTCAAGTTTTCAAACATGGCATAAATAAGAGAAGCAACACGTGAGTACTGCTTCTACAGAAATAATGTCCTGAGTACAAAAAGACATTTACATAAAAAAAAATATATGTAAATTATGATTGCAAATGTATAGAGATGAATACAGCTTACTTTTTGTTCTTGTCCTTGGAGCTCCAGAAGTTAGCTTGCTGAATAATAAAAGTGAGTAAATTACATATAAATCCCTCAAATTAAACCTAATAACAATTTATGATTAAATTTGTACTGTTGGTATCCTAAACTAAACGGGAATAAGGCAAGCAAACATGTTAATTAGAATTGTACCACATGTCAATTTAATTGTTCCAGTTAGTTTTCTGCTACTTGGAAAAAATTCTAAACAAATCTCATTTGCACTGCGTATCATTTAGCCAAAAAGCCCATTTAGAGGTTAAATAAAATTATAAAGCTTCTATACTTGTAGATGATAGTTCACATCTCTGTACATAATAGGTGCATACATGCATTGCTTTTGTAACTTTTTGATCTGTTAATGCAAAATACAATACTTCAAGGAAATAGAGAGAGCGGGGGTTGTGGGTATTAGAGAGAATTTTTGAAACTACAAATTAATTTTCATTCAGTAAAAACTCTATTTCAGATTACAAGCTTGATCTCTATTTATAGAAATTAAGGAAATATGTAAGAAACAATTCAATGGGGCACTCACATACATACCACCTAATTTCTATGTAATTACATATCTAACACCTAAACTTTACTATTTACATTTATATCCCACAAATATTTCATATCACATCAAAATTACCAATATTTTGACTTTTAGAAAGAGAAATACACATCTTCATCTATGGGTAAGGTGGCACAAACCATTCTTTTGGAAATTTGAAATACAACTTGGCAATTAAATCATTTTAAATTTTTCTGTATCTCCTACATCAATACTGAACTAAGTATGTGAAACATAGTAAATAATTAAGGATAAATAGAGTGCAGATTAAATCCATCCAACAGTATACCCTTGTTCGGATGAAATTGGTATGTTCACCTTTGGAGTCTTCGTATCACTAACCTGAAGAAAAATCAAAGCAAAAGTATAAAAGTTAGCTGAATTAGATCAAGAAGTACTTAAGGACCTATAATTTGATATATATATATGCATTAATTCCCTAAAAAAGACGGTTTATATCTTTAAACAAGTAAAATATCTAAGAAGTTGTGCTGGTGGCCAAAAGAAAGAAATGAAAGAAAAATGGGTGCTCACATGCATATCACCCAATTCCTATGTATTTACATATATAGCACGTAAGTTTTACCTTTTTATATTTATTGACAAGGGGCTCGGGGGAGAACCAGCCAGTGCTCAAGGGAGGGGGGTTGCCTTCCCCTTCTTCCTTTCCCTCCTCCCCTTTTTCCTTCCTTTCCTCCTTTCTCCCCCTTTCCTTTCTCTCCCCTTCACCTTTCCTTTCTCTCCCCCTCACCTTTCCTTTCTAAGCACTTTATTCTGCTTCTTTATTTTAAAACCCTTTCCTAAAATCCAAAATCTTCTTTTATTCTCCTTATTTTAAAAGTCTTTCCAAAAAAAAATCTGATATTTCTTTTTATTCTCCTTATTTAAAAAGCTTTTCCAAAAATCTGAAATCATGTTTATTCTACTTTTTATTTTGAAAGTTCTTCTAAAATATAAAATCACTCCTAAAATAGGTCAAGCCTCTTTATAAATAGGAGGTAATGTGCTTAAAGTTAGTGGCCTTATTTTTGATATCTGAAATCAGGTTTTAGCCTTAGTATTTTCCTATTCGAGAGTTGTATCTGATGTCGGGGTAGTGCTTTGGTTATCCTTCGTCCGAGGTGGTAATTGACTCCATGGGTCTGGGTGGTGCTCAGGCTGTAGCTCGACCTCGAAGAAGAATTTATCTGTCCTTTCACCCTTCCTGTTGCTGCCCACCCGCTTCCCAACCCAACAACAGGCCATCGCGCATCGTCTCCAACAACCGCTGGTTGTTGTCCTCCCTCCAACCTACTGTCAGCCTTCTCCCACCAAGGCCATAGTTCCACATACTCCATCCCAACGCTCAGTCACCCTTCCTGAACAACCAAATCTTCTTGTCCACTGGCCCAAAATTCCTCCCAGCACTCAGTCGACCCACTTCCAGCAGTCTACCTTGCTGTCCAAGCCTTTCCCATAGCTTCCCGATGTCAGCGCTTCCGCGCTCGTTGTCCACCCTTTGAAAGTGTTGATGAGTCTTCCCCGCTGGTGCCCCACATTCCCAGCTTGCTATCTCACCTTCCAACCTATCTCCCAGCCACCCAACAAAACCTTCCTGCCACCTTAACCTAGTGCCTCCCTCCTCCAGTTCACCTTCCAAACCCTGTCAACCCCTCTCCAGCATTCACACTTGTCGTCCCCAAGCCTTTGGATCCACTGGGCCAACCTCCACTATCCTTATCATTGGGATACACTTTTGAGGTGTTGGCTTGTGTCTTTATGTTTGTTTGTCGTTTATTTCATGTTTTGAAAAGTCGTCGTAATCGATTTCAAATTCAATCATAATAATGTGTTTCTTTTGTGGTTTTGGCTTTCTCCTCCGGTATCAGTAAATGAATAGGGCTTCATGACTTCCTCTTAAAGTTTGATCAAATTGTTACCAAAAAATTTCTACTTGACAATACATTTTATTCTAAAAAATGATTTGTTCTTTCCAACTCATTTTATTGATGCTTTAAAAAGTGACATGGATTTAAATCTTAGACCAAAAATAAAAAGAAGATAGAAACAACTTCATATTTGGACAATTAATATTGATAAATCTTATTATCATCAAAAATGAAATTTTATAAAATTGCCCCTCTAGCGTTGTATCTCAATCTTCACAAATTAGTGAGCATTGTTCTACCTCGTGGCTTTAGAATGATGAGTGAGAAAAAAAAATTAATTTCTCCTTGAAGCCAAAACCAGGCATTGGCAAAGCATCACAAACAAAGCAGTCTGCTATCTAATATATAAATTTGCCATGCAATCAAGCATTCAAACTAAGAGAGAATATCCATGAATAAAACATGAAAATAAAGTATGACCATAATTTATTTAATAAATTATTTAATACCCTTTTGTATCCAACCATCAAATATAATCAAGCTTTCTAATATATTCCCTCTTAAAGATTCAGTAATGGTCTTTCATCATTGAAAGTTGAACGCTAAGCATGCATGTAATGATCCTTCAACATTGAGAGCTCAACAGTAATGTATGTATGTATGTATATCCTTTAGCATTAAGAGTCGAAAGCTATTGTATGTGTGAGTGTGTGTGTGTGTGTGTGTGTGTGTTGTATGTCGTATGTATGTATCGAAATGTTTGTGTATATGTATTGTTAGAAGTTATACTAGAAAAAAAATTTATTACTATTACAAGTTATGAGTGTTAGAATTATTTCCTAATATAATTTTATTTTTTTTCCTATTTCAGATTTATTTTCTTGGATTGGACTTATTTCATTTTCTATTTTAGATTTCCTATTTTATGTTGTTTCCTTTATCTCTAAATAATTAATATGAATTGATCAATTGGAGATATTATGTGTTATATCTTTTTTTTTCCTGTTATTTCATTTTATTGTTTTTCCTATTACGGGATTCATGTAAAAATTATTTATACCTCTTTTCATATCAATAATATAATTCGATTATTCTGAATTTCAATATGGTGTCAGAGCTTAATTTTGTACCATAGCCACCGGCCTCCTTCATGAACCTCTGGACTCCCTTCCTGTCATCCTTCGTGCGGGAAGGGAGTGGCACTCGTCTCGGCATTTGAAACAACAACTTTTAATTCTTTCTCACCCTATGGGCTTAGCCTGTCGGCTAGCCCTTCGCGAGCCAGGAGCTTTGACTCTAGTGGCCTCCAAAAAGAAAGTAGTTTTGTTCTTGCTATTTTTCCCTCGAACTGGGATCTGTTCCGTAGAGAAACTTTTTGTTATTGGCTGCCTGACAATTTTTTCCCATAAAGAACTATTGCATATTTGCCGTGTAGATATATAGTCGTCGGTTCCTAAAGCTGCCATTCTTTTTCAACCTAGTTGTTGCCAGTTCCCCTCTTCCCAACCGGTTTTCTAAAGGTTAATGTTGTTGATCCTTTCGGCAGGTGGTTCCAGCAGTCGAACCTCTCTTCGCTGAAGAGTTGATCCTTAGATTCCAGTCTCGGGTCTTCTTGTTGCAAGATTGGAGCGCGTCTAGATTGACGATGTCCTTGAGATCCTCGTCAAGGGTATATCACGTGGGCAAGGCAACCAATTATGGATTATTGCCGCCCTCTCACCGGCAACCTCTCCCGACAAGATTTATGTCGGACCTCTGTCGATCGGCTCTCCCTCTCACTGGGGACCCATCTTTGATGGGTGGTGTGTCGATGACTTTACTATCGTTCTTCCCCGTAGGACCTTCCCGTTGTTCCTCCCCGCAGTGCCTTCTCGTTGTTCTAACCCGCAGAACTTTCCCGCAGGAAACAAAGGAGTTTTTTCTGCTGCTCTTCCCAGTCGCAGGAAACAAAGCAGATTTTTCCCTGAAGTCCAGCGCTGCTTACTATCATTTCTTGTTGTTCTGCCACAAAAATTCAGCGTTGATTCTTGCAGTCTGATCCGTCGTCAGCCCTTTCTCCTGCAGGTGTCAAGAGAAGTTGTGTCTCCAGCAGTCATTTCTCTTGCAGCTTTCTGTCGACAGAATTTCTTGGGTGTTATTTTCTCTTCTTCTCTCTTGTGGAGATCCCAACCTAAAACTCGTAGCTAATGTCCAAAGAGGAAGACTCCAATGTTCAGAGAGGGAGACTCCAATGTTCAGAGAGGGAGACGGTGATGTTTGGAGAGTTGGACTTTCTCTCTCCAGTGGCATTCCCAATCGAACGGGAGAAGTTATTTTCCCATACATGTCTTCGCTGAAAAAATGGACAAAGAGGATGAGCTATTTTTGCCATTTCTTTTCCCCTGTAGGTTTCAACTGCTTCTTCCCTGCTGTCGGAAAACTCTATGCAGGGCCTTCTCTGTTTTTTCCATTGCCACCGGAATGTTTTCCTGCATCAAGTCCTTAGGTCATCCACTGTAATTCTTCCTACAACAACCCTCCTCCGAAACTTTTCCTGCATCAAGCCCTCCTCCGAAGCTTTTTCTGTATCAGACCCTCCTCCAGAGCTTTTTCTGTAGCAGATCTCGTTCAGAATTTTTTTCTACAACAGTCTTTAGAACTTTTTCCTGCAGCAGGTTTTCCTCTGAAACATTTTTAGTAGCAGATCCTCCGGAGCTTTTCCTGCATTAAGGGTCTGTTTGGAGCATCTGCAGCTTCTCAGCTGCAGCTGCGCTGACCCAGAAAGCTGCTGTGGGGAAGCTAGTTGTCTGTTTGGGGCAGCTGTGTGAAAACAACTGTGACGTAGCTGTTTCGAAAAAAATGGCAATTCTACCCATGTTTTGTAAGTTAGTGATAAATCTTATCGTATTCAACAACCAAAAATTAAAGAAGAACACGACAAAACGACAGTGAAAAGGTTGCAAATAGCTTTGAACAATACTAAACTTTTTCATCAATAATGAGCAGATTCAACTCAGATGGTGTCATACTATTAGTAAATTTGGGCAAGAATTTCATGCCTTAGAAGCACATTTTTCAACATTCCCAGATTTTTTGGTTCCATAAATCTCTGTAAGAAAATATACAGGATATGATTTTTTATACTAGAAAGAAATCGAAAGAAATAGGAGAGTTACCTTCAATTCTTTCAAGTAGGGGCGGAGGAGAGCGTAGTGGAGCGGAGGAGAAGAAAGATAGGAGTCACAGGTCTGCAGAAATGGTGATTGAATCCTCGCCTTCCTTCCCAACTCTGGCTTGGAATCTAGCGATGAGGTGTTCTTCACCTCCATGATGGAGCATTCGACTTCAAGAAGATCGATTGGCTTCGCAAGATGATCGAGATCAATGGGCAGCTTCGTGAGATGTAAATCAGAAGCAATCGCAAAACGTGGCAAAAGAGGTAAAAGCCTCTCCATAACGCGAGGCCACGTGATTAATCCCGCGGCTCACATTCCGCCATTTTTAGCGGACTCCAGCGACGAACGTGAAAACCAAACAACAAATTCCCACGCAGATTCGTGGTTTGGGGCCGCGCCGCTCTAAAAATGCGACCCCAAACGGACCCTAAGTCTCCTCCAAAGCTTTTCCCTTCAACAGGCCCTCCTTCAGAATCCTTCCTGCAGCCGACCTCCTCCGAAGTTTTTCCTACAGCACACCCTCCTCCGGAGCCTTTCCTTGCAGCAAGGCCAACCTCCGGAGTTTTTTCTTTTTTTTCTACAGGTCATACTCAGCTATTTTTTTTGTTGGTTGTCAACTTTCTTGCAAACTCCCCTACTGCATTACCTATAGGAGTATTCCGCCTACCTACAGACACTGCAGGAACTGCAATCAAAGATAATCATAATCAATTAGAAGTTAGTTTTTCCTATAGATTGTCTTCTTCCTTGCAAACTTTTCTACAAAATTACCTGTAAGAGTCATTCGTCTACCTACAAACACTGTAGGAATTGCAGTCAAAAACAACTGCAGTTGTTTAATTCTATGCAAACTCTCCTACAGCATTACCTGTAAGAATTTTCCGCCTACCAACAGACACTGTAGAAACTGCAGTCAATGGCAACCGCAGTAAGAGATGAAAACTTTTAAGTACTACCTCACAGGATCTCCCTCGCCCACTGTTTGATATTTTCAAATCCAAGTTGAAGAAGTTTTTCAACCATATTTCAATTTGAGAGGGAGTGTTAGAAGTTATATTATAAAATAATTTATTCCTATTAGAAATTAAGAGGATTAGATTTATTTCTTAATATAATTTTATTTCTTTTCCTATTTTAGATTTATTTTCTTGGATTTAATTTATTTCATTTCCTATTTTAAGTTTTTCTATTTTATATTGTTTCATGTATCTCCAAATAATTAATATTAATTGATTAATTGGAGATATCAAGTGTTATATATTTCCTTTTTTGTTATTTCTTTTTATTTTCTTTTCTATTCTAGGATTCAGTTAAGGATAATTTATGTCTCTTTTCATATCAATAATATAATTCAGCATTATTCTGAATTTCAACAATGCATGTGTGCATGTGTTATGTGTATGCATATATGCATGCATGTATGTATAGTATATGTATGGACGCATGTATGTATGTATGTATGGAAATATGGATGTATGGATGCATGTATGTATGCTTGTATGGATGTATGGATGTATGGATGTATGGATGCATGTGTATGGATGTATGTATGGATGCATGTGTATGGATGTATGTATGGATGCATGCATTGATGTATGTACAGATGCACGTATGTATGTACGCATGTATGCATGGATGTATGGATGTATGGATGTATGGATGTATGTATAAATGTATGGATGTATGAATTTATGTACGTACACATGTCTGGATGCATCTATGGATATATGACTGTACGTATGTATGTATGTATGTACGTTTGTAATGGATGGATGGATGGATGGATGGATGGATGGATGCATGCATGGATGGATGCATGGATGGATGTATGGATGCATGCATGTATGGATGCATGGATGGATGAATGCATGTAGGTATGTATCTATGGATTTAAGTATGTATAAATGTATGAATGTATGTATGCACTAAGTATGGAAATGTGCGTTGTTCAGATAAAATCGAAAAACCAAAGTTAACATATTTTATATGGTTATTAAATCATTGGTTCAATTATTAGTTATCATTTTGATTTTATCTTACTTTAAATTATTGGTTCACTATCTTACATTTATATAATTGATTAAAAAAAAACTCTAATTATACTAATTTCCCCCAAATATTAAATCAATTAAACCCATGAGTTATAGATACATAAGTTATAGAAAAATCACAGTAAATATAATTTATTCTATATGCTAAAATCACAAATTTTAGCAGAGATTTCTTGGCATTTGTAATACATATTCTTCAAGTTAAATATAATTAGATTTATAATCAAATTTAATTAAATTTCAGTATACTAAAATTAAACTAAACTAATCAAGCTAAAGTTTAGTTGAGTTTAATTAGTTTAAAAAAATAGTTTTGTTGGTTTGATTATCCAAATTTTATTATTGAAATCAATTGATTCAGCTGCTTTATAAACCAAAGCATTGAAAATGACCAAATACGTATCGAAGTCCATGATTTTTACTTTTGAAACGTTCAAAGTGCTATACTCTTTCTACCAAGAGATTGGCCATTCAATACTTGAGTAATCTCTACTTTCTAACATAATGGTAGTCATTAGTTTTTAGGTTTTCAAAAGCATAAGGAATTATACTCTTTCTATAGTCCAAAAGCATGGTTGTCAAAGATCAGAGTGGTCTTTATTTCCTTATATGGATGTAAATCTGCGATTTTTGGGAAAAGATAAAGTTGTTATATTCTCTCTAATATCCAAGCGGTCAGCATATAAGACTCAGCTATCCTTTATTTCTTTCTCCAAAAGATTTGTTAATTTTTTAAGTTTGAACGATCAAAGTTGACCCCACGTAGTGGGATTAAGGCGTTGTTGTTGTTGTTGTTGTTGTTGTTGTTGTTGTTGTTATTGTTGTTGAACGATCAAAGTTGAGCTTATAGTTGAATATGACAAAGAGATGTTATATTGAAATTGCAAAGTATAACAAAAAAATATATATTTACTTAGTACACAGCCTTTCAGTGCAAGTGTTCAACATCTGACAACATCAATACATTTCTATTGATGTTTGGTAGAACATAAGAACCAAATCAAATCTCAAGAAAACGATGCTAGAAAACTACTTATTATAGTTGGCAACCTTCTCCATGTTTGATAGCCTCCACACATAGAACCATCAGATCCTGCCAATAGAGGCTAAGTCGTTATCAACCAATCTTTTAGCATCAGACTCATTGGTACTCCTTCATGGTGCATCCATAGCAACAAGCGAACAGCGACGCTACCCAACAAAGCTCTCAACAGATAAAGTGTAATCATTCCTTGACGCATCCACAAGGAAGAGCGAATAACCACTCCGCCCTAACTACTTTTGAACACCTAAAGTGTGGCCACTCTTCTTTGACACCTTGGTAGTGACCATAAGCAATAAGTCCTCTCTGCCATCATTCAACATGTTCCTTAATTATATACCTTGTAACAAAGAAGTAGAGACTTTTTGGCTCCATAAAACCCCAAGGGCCCTTAATAATAAATGAACATAATAAAAACCACCTAGTTAAATCGAACATAACGCCTAAGTGCCACTAAATAACTTGGTGTCGGGTTCAGATTATTACGGGGAGCATTGTCAGATGTTCTAGTCCAAACTAGCTCATTTGGGGTGATTACTTCATCATATGTTGATATTATCACCGAAAAACCTCTGCAAATTCTTGAAAAAATAAAATATTCCTAGTGGTGATCAAAATAATGATTATTTATCACATGTTTTTATCAGCAGCTTCTATCGCCACCAAATCAGTTGAAAGGCTGCCTCAAATGAAAACTAGAACAACAACAACAAGTCTTTATCCCATTAAGTGGGGTCAGCTAAATGAATCCTTTTTCTTCATTGTGTCATATTGAGTGTCAAATCTTCATTTAATTCTAATAGATTAAGATGATTTTTTGTCTTTTTAGGTCTACCTCTACCTTTCTTAGCATAAGTCTAATCTAAAACATCTACTCTCCTAATCCTATCATAATCCTCGACGTTCAATGTGACCAAACCATCTAAGACGGATAGAATAATTTCCCATTTTGTCCATAAGTGTCAAGCCACTCATCCACCTAAGCATTCTCATCTTAGCAAAACTTAACTTTGTTTTATGCTTCTAACTTTGTTTTATGCATTCTGAGTCATAAAACATTGCAGGTCTCACCACCATCTTATATAATTTTCCTTTAAAGCAATACTTCAACCTTCTACTAATTAATTTTCTTTTCCTTTAAAGCGATACTTCAACCTTCTACTAATAACATTCCTCAAATTAAAGTAAACCGAACCTACAAAAAAATCGAACCTTCCCCTTCTTTTCTGGCTCGGCACCAAATCCTCGACTTCTAGCAAAGCAGAGAGAGCCGCAAATCTTCAATATTTCTCGATTACTGCCTCTCCTCGCCCAAAATGCTGGTAAATAGGCCTGCAACAACGGAATTGATTCGCAGAAACCCTAGAAGGAATTAAAAATGATAGGAAACAATAAAATCTCTGCTTCGGCTTTTAAATAAGCAAGCGGAGATGCTCCATTACCGCCGTGGGAAGACGATAATCCATGGGCGAAGAAGCGAGGTGAACTCGGCTCGGATTTGAAGTATCGGAAAACAGAATCGATAACCTACGCTAAACTTTGTTTACCATTTTCTCACTCCATCAAGAAAAAATATTGTGAGCATGAGATAGGTGGGCCCTCACATTCACGGAAAAAATTTGTGTACGATAGACGTAGCGAGCGCTACGTACAATTTCTCGGTATACTGAGGGTAAAACGAGGTTATATCATCGGTATAACTCTTTGTAACCTCTATATAACATTCTGTAACTTATTTGCAACCTACTATATATGATAACAGAATCGCTGAATTTATTTGTAGGTTACACTATGTTATATAGAGATTACAGGGGGTTATAATACGGGTATAACCCCCTTATACCCTTTTTATAATCTCAAAATCGCATGCAATTTTTTTCCCGCATCCAGGCATCTACACAGCGAATCACCGACGGTCACGTGGTCCGCTGATCACATGTATCACAACTTGGTCAACAGTGGTTGGACGTCC